CCTCCCACATGCTAGGATTAAAGGCATGTACCACCATGCCTAGCAAAATCCCCTTTATCTTTGAAGAACTAACATGTAGATAATACAGAATTCAAAAGGTATTCTAAGGCCTGTTAAATCAGTAAAGGTACTTGACAACAGGCCTGGCACCCCGACTTCCATCCCCAAGACCCAACACCTGACCTTCATACAAACAGAATGGAGCTGGGGGTAATAAAAGAGTTGAGTGAAAATTCCCTTGTCTTTGGCCCTCACCCACTCTCAGGCAGCCGTTGTTATTTTTATCCTTTCAGAGATACTGTCTACAAGCAAGTCTGTTGTATGTGCACACGTGAACACATTTTCCTTTTCCTTCTGCATGTGGGAGGCAGGCAGACGTTTCACACTGATTTGAACACTTATCCTTTTTTTTTCCTTACTATTGTAGCAAGGGATTTTCTTTTAATTTTTTTTTTTTAAGATTTATTTATTTAATGTATGAGTGCTCTGTATATGAGTCCTGTATCTGCAAATACAACTTTATGCCAGAAGAGGGCATCAGATCCCACTATAGATGGTTTTGAGCCACCATGTGGTTGCTGGGAATTGAACTCAAGACCTCTGGAAGAGCAGCCAATGCTCTTAACCCACTGAGCCATCTCTCCAGCCCAGGATTTTTTATAAACATGTAATAGAGCCTCTTTGTCCCTTTTTTGTGACTAGCTACACAGAAACCCACTCATTGTGGCTGAGCCATGATTGATGAGCCAATCGTTTGAGTTGTCTGACGTATTGCAGATGTTTTGGTGGTATTCTGCCCCAGCTCAGCCCTGAAGTTTTACTGTTCTCTTCCTTTCTCCTGTTACAAACGTCAATCTTACATGTAGAAGCTCAGAACTGATCTCCTGAACATTATCCGAGAGAAGAACTTGGCCCACCCTGTTATCCAGAACTTTTCCTATGAGACCTTCCAGCAGAAGATGTTGCGTTTCCTGGAGAGCCACCTGGATGACACGGAGCCCTACCTCCTCACGGTGTGCCTCAACCTCTCTTCTTCCCATAACCATGTTTTGAAGTGAAAAAAATTGTGCGACATTGACTGTGTTATGTGCACTACCTGTGAGATGCCTAAGATGAGCATATGCCTAAGATGATGGAACCTACCTGGATTCTCTCACCTGCATTTGAGACTCTTTTATGTGGGACCAATCTGGTAGTTAAAGTAGAGCCTTCTCTTACAATCCTGGTTCCCACAGGTAGTGAAATCTGAGCTGAGAGGTAGATGTGGAAATGATGGGAGTTGATAGTGAGGGCATGTGGTGGGAGGAGAGATTGGAAGTATGATACAGTCTAAAGGAGCCAGATGAAAGTGATCCTTTTTTATCCTTCTCTTTTTATTTTATGTGTATATATGTTTTTGCCTCCACAGATGCCTGTGCACCACAGATATGTAGTGCTCATGGAGGCTAGAAGGTGTCAGATGCCCTGGGACTGCTGGAGTTACTGATTGTTGTGAGCCACTATGTGGGTGCTGAGAATCAAAGTTGGGTCCTCTACAAGAGCATCCAGTGCTCTTCACTGCTGAGCCATTCTCTAGGCGTACCCCCATCCCTTTCTAGATATGGTCTCGCTATGTACCCCTGGCTAGCCTGGAAAAGTATGCAAACCAGGCTGGCATCAAACTCATAGCAATCTGCTTGTCTCTGGCTCCAGAGTGCTGGGGTTAAATGTGTGGGCCACCATTCTACACTGGCCTTATGAAGATATTCGTTTAGTTGGACTCTAGATTTCGTGGTAAAGCACACCACTACTCTGTACAGTAAAGAACATGAGTTTTGAGGCTAGCCTGAGCTATAGCAAGTCCCTATCCAAAGAACCTAATGACTAGAGATGTAGCTTATTATTAAAACTCTTGGTCTAGTATGTATAAGGCTCTGGGTTTGATTCCAAGACCACCAAAAAAAAAAAAAAAAAAAAAAGAGGGAGTAAAGTCGGGGAGCCATGATTTTGATAATGTTAAAAATAGCCTATCATAATGGGAGATCTGAGGCCTTTATTAGAGTAGTGTCAGTGGTGGATCCTGTCAGCTCTTTCACAGATCGCAGGTCACCTGTAAACAGGTATTTGGAATAGCTAGCCAGGAAGCATCTGGATGCTGGAATTTTGGTCTAGATGTGTTTCATTCCTTTGCATTTTGGGTAACTAGAAAATACAATGCTGCTCCTTACATGAGGGTGGAACCCATCAAAGACGCCAAGTCACAGTATCCAAATGAGTGGAACAGTCTAGACTTAGAGTAAGAGGGAGACAGATGGACAGAGTTAGGGCCGGAATGACCTGCCTAGGTCTTCCTGTGCAGGGTTGGTAAGGATTTTCAAATAGAAATAGCTGTCAGTAAGACAGGCATTTGTGAGATACAGTTAAACGTTACATAACAAACTATCCTAAGTTTTGAAAAACTGTTAGAGCCAGGCGTGATGGCACAGCCGTATAATGCCAGCAAGTCC